GCATTCACAATATTTCCATTTTTGAACCATGTAAGTATTTGATCCATTTTTGGTTTGTTACTGCTAGAAAACATTCCCTTGATTTCTTCAATCCATATGTTCCAAGCTAACATACTACGGTTGTTGTCTTCATTATCTGTACACTGCATTGTGGTGTGACTACAATGGATTTGATCCAGAAGCTATTATTATATTTTAAATCACCATCAGTGCTCACACAGGGGCTGTGGATTGATTTTGGGAGTTCACCCTTCATACTGGATATGATGCAAGTCACATTCCAGTCCACAGCTCGCTCGCTCGCTCGCTCTTTCTTTCTTTCTTTCTTTCTTTCTTTCTTTCTTTCTTCCTTTCTTCCTTTCTTCCTTCCTTCCTTCCTTCCTTCCTTCCTTCCTTCCTTCCTTCCTTCCTTCCTTCCTATCTCTGCCAATCCTTTCTTCCTCTGATCCCACCTCTGCTGCTCTTTTTGATTTGCTATGAAGCTGACATCTCATTTAAAGCTTTAAACCAGCCATTCTCAGCCTTTTTGGCATACAACATGAAAAAAATATAGGCCATATCAGGACTGCGTACGTTGCATAGTGAACTTTAGTGAAGAAACCCCACTGAGGTGTGCATGTGTGTGTGTGTGTGTGTGTTAGGGCAGCATGGCCACCAAGTTAAAACATAGAGATTTCATCAGAAATCACACCTTTTGGGCACAGCTTTTCTGGTAAGGGCCAGGCACACATTTCAAAATGTCTTTGAGATTAGCTGTTCAAAAGCTTCACACACAGTTGGAGAAGAAACGGAGGAAGCAATTCACAAGTTGGCCTTTTTCCTTCACATGCTAAATTACACAGAAGACAGCTGGGGGCAGAGTAGCTCAAGCACGCAGGTGAAACTCTTTTGAAGTACCCTTTTGGCCAGGATTCCCAAGGAATACACAACTAGGCTGGGGGCTTAAAGTAGAGTACTGACTCAAACAAAAGAGTTATTTCAAGAGATCCAGAGAGGATGATGATGCATGGGAGGTTACAGAACTTGAAGTAAGTTTCGGGCTGCCACTTATGTGGCAGGTAGGAAATTTTAGATGAAATAGCCACAAATTTTAGTCTTGATTGTTTGAGATGTGATTTTACACTTTGGCTGAAAAATTTGAAATATATCATTTTGGAACTTAGGTTACTTTCATTCTCTTGTTCCAGTTTCAGCTTTTAAAATAAAGTTATTATTTTAGAGATGGACTTCGCTGGGAGTGGAGGTACTGTACTTTTTGGTTACTTGGTTACTTGATCCAGAATGCCAACCACTCTTTCTGCATTACCAGAGTAGTTTGTCTTTATAGAACATGTCCAGAGACCACAGACACAGAGAGAAGGCTGGTGACAGCTTTTACCATGAATTAAGAGGAACTTGAGATTTTACTCTGGGATAGAAAGAAGTAACGTAAAACAACAAAGCCTCCCCATATGATCTGTCATGATTCAGAACTAGCACCCAATATCCTACATAAGAATCACAGCACTTTGCTTCTGCATGTCCCTCACCCAACCCGATCATCATGCACCAGCCTACATAATCAAAACATCACCTACAGAAATGCCCCCAACCCCCCGCCCCAGTCTTTACGGTATCACAGTTACTGCATTGGAAAAAAACCCATTTGAATACTTCTGGCTTGAAAAAATACAAGCCCACATGAAAGAAGGGGAAAAAGGAACTGCTTTAGGAGCAAAAAGGGCTTGACCAATTTGAATCAGCCTTTGCGTCATACGATCAGTAAAAAAATACTGTACTTTGACTCTACCCATTTTATAACCATGTAGTTGTACTCAAAGTTAGGCCTATAAGAACAGTATAGAAATAAATAAAGTGGCCCAAGGCCTAGTATATCTGCCTACTACCAATGCAAATCTTGATGCCAGACTGCCACAGGTCAATAAGTTATGGTAGGCATTTCCTGTTAAGTGCTGAGTCTCTTGACTCTGCATGGAACAGTAAATCGTTATGTTGGTTTCTTGGCTTGTAGCAATTTACCACAAAGATTTACAATTATTGTGTTATATCATCATAAAAACTCAAGAGGATTTTGGCCTATGATTGACTGATCAATCAATAGCTTTCCTGGTGAGCAGTATGGATAATGATCTAAATACTGCATGGCAAGGTAAGGTACCAACTTCCAATCAAAATCAGTATCTTCTCACATGGTAATTGACCACTGAGGCATTTCTTGAAGTTTAACTCAATTCACATAGGCCGCAGCCCTATATCCACTTAACTTGGGAATCAGTCTTATTCAAATCTGTGGAGTACACTTCTCTACAGACTTATATAGGATTTTGCTGTAACTGAAGCCACAAGATATCTCTACAGTTTTTAATGGGGCTGCCCTGGAATAAACAATTTGCTAAATACATCTAAAATGGTCACCTACTTATTTTAAATTGCCCCAATTGATTTTCAGTTAGAAATCCCTGTTTAATTTTTGTTTACTCAGGTACTAATTAATATTTGCTGAAGAGAAATAGCCAAATATTTCATTCCAGAACAAGTAGACACTATCATTGCAAGACCCATCAAAAAAATTCACAAGACTTTGGAGGAAGTATCAGCTGCTGGAAATCCTCTTGAAACAATTTGCTTCCTTGGGCACAGCAACATGGCAATTGTAAGGCATGACCACATGTAAAGCATATGCATAAAAGGTCAATTCATCCTGAATATGGATTAGCAATGAAATTCTATACATGTAGTGAAAGCCAATGCACAACCACTTCCTCGTGGGCAGAAAGCCAATGGACATAGCTATTTTAAGTGACTTCATTTGTGTAGAATCTAGATGGTCACATGATTGGATTCTTTTACATAAACCTGTCTTTATATGAGTGCTTTTTAGAAAGTTCTTTAGCAAACTGAAGGATCCCTTAAGGCTTACTCACATAACTGAACTGATATTCACAGAGAATGTACTAATAAGTGGGTGTGGGCAGAAAGATCCTGCTGAAGCAACTTTCCTGACTGCTTTAAAGGCATCCAGCTTGCACTAAAACCCACATTTAGCTTTCTGTTGCTGAATAAAATTAGTCCATCATTGTGCTTTTTTTCTACTATGAGCTCTAGAATGTTATTTGCTGAATCTTGCCCAAGTATAGCACTGGATAGAGACCACAAAGAAATAACTTTATTCAGGAACTAAAATCTACGTACATCTTTTAATTCAAGACTTGCTTGATCCTTTAAAGTAAATGAAGTATATAAGTATCTATCTTTAATTTCCCTCTCGCTCTTTCTTCGCTTTACTAAATAATATGCACGGTATCCCAATGTCATTAAAATTTAACGCTACTTCAAATATGTACTCATGCAGTGTAGTTTGTTCTTGTTTATTCTCCAAACAGGCAATTAGTGTATATTCACAATCAAAAATTATTTTATAAATCCATTGTGTTCAATATCTGAAATTGCTGAGCAGCAGGTTTGGTAACAACATTTGAAAGCATTAGCCAGCACCATTCAGTCATCAGAACTTTGCAACCTGAAGCTCCACCTGAATAAACAGTGTGATTCTTGGTAAAAAAAAGGAAAATAAAATAGAGAAAAAAACAACACATCCTAAATGAGATAAGAAGTCTCTTGAAGCACAAAGTTTAGAAAAGCACCAGCCAAGCATGAGAGAGAGGGGGGCTAGCCTAATTTTTTCATCATGTTCCATATAGCAACTGCTTTTGTGTTTTAATTTGGAGGGAAACTTTCCACTGTGAGGCTGTTGCTCAGCTATGACTAATCACCATGTCTCTAAGGACAACATACCACAAATGCAGCTTAAAAGTGGAAAAAAGGATCATGAAGGAGCCTTTCCTCTATGCTGCCCCACTCTGATTAGCTTGAGGAATGTACACAACCATGTTGATGTTATTGCTCCAAACTGGACTTAGAAACTTGTCTCCATTTAGAATGGTGCACCCTATCTTTTCAATTGCATTGAGCCCAAACATACACATAAACACACACCTCTGACCGATCTTCTCTTATCCCTGGGGCAGACGGATCCAGTGCCACCTCTCCATTTCCTTCCCCAGTAATTTCAATATAGATTTATTTATTTGTTATTTATTTAAAATATTTACCCCACCATTCTCCTTAATAAGGACCCAATGCAGCTTACATAATTAAAAAACAGTTTTTAAAGCTAACAATGGTGAATATACAAATACAAAAATGATCAAACACATTTCATACTAAAAATATAAGTGACAGATGGCATTTTAAATATATTGCTAGGAATACTGTATATTGTGAGGAAAGAGGAAACCATACAAAATGGAGAGGGGGGATTTAGTGGCAGAGGATCAGCACACCCACACAGGGCCACACTTAAAGATTTAGGTGGTGACTGATTTCCCATCTTGATCTACAGTAGATCAATGATTTATCTCTATGCTGAATGAGCACAAGAAAAGAATCTATATTACCCAAAACTCATGGTAGGTATTTCTCTGTGGAGGTTACTGAGGTTACCCAAATTAACATGGAAGCAACACCAAACATGTTGGAAATGTGTTATAAATTCTAAGAGGGGACAGGTGATCTTAAGAGGCCCCTTCCCATTCTCGGGTGGCCACATCTACTCTTACAATCTTCAGTCCAATAGTTTAACTTATAAAGAGTGGTGGTGTGGGGTTATGGAAAAAAACTGCTTACATTCTCTAGGAACACCCCATATTTAAAATGTATTTGGGGGGCATGGTGCCCCTTTGAGGCATTAGAGGCTTTTTTTAAACAAGGCAAAATAGCCTCACATTCTCTTACAGCATAACAGAACTTTTTGAGCCAAAATATGTTGCGGTTGTGGGGGGAACTGAAGGCTCTCTTTGGGCCTCAGGGGAGCTGTATCTGACCTATGGGTCATATGTTGCACAACTCTGCTCTAAGGATTATGGTGCCCAAACTCCCAAGCTTTGTTTCTGTCCATGGTGTTGAGAAGAATCAAAAGAGTGCCGGGAACAAGGACTGACCTAGCAGCAATGTAGAGGGTTCTGTCCATGATCATGAGCAATTGGATGTCCAGTCTGTGCCTTTGTGGGGCGTTGTGTCCTGGCTTGTGACCCACAAACACCGGATACTGTTTTGTATCTGTGAGGAGCAGAGAAGAGATTGAAAAGTATGTACCAGCAAGAAATAAGATGTATGGAGCCACTCTCAACAAAAGGCATGTTAAGACACTTATATGGTCAAAATAAAGGCAATCATCCAACGCAGAAACTAGTTCAGCAACTATGGATTGTTATCTGGCAAGGACAAATAGAAGTGGATGCCTTTAAAATACTATGATGCCCAACATCTGAACCTCATGACAACATCACTAAATATTCACAGATGTTAAAGAGGTGGATGACAGAATACAACAGCTGAACAGTCTGAGGGTAAAAGGTATTAAATTCCGACAACATCTGTGGACTCAAATCTGAGAATCACTGACATAGTTTTCACTGACATAGTTTTCTTCTCAGTTGCCATGAAAGCAGTTTCTTTACACCCTACTATTTAAAAACATTCCCTAATTTGATCAAGAATATACAATGTGCTAGACCTACGACAACTCTATCCAGTCTGATGCCTTCTATATGCTGTACAGCAGATGTTGGCAAATGTGCTCTGTGGTGTGTATGTGGTTCTGCCAGAGGCATTTTGAGTTCTCCAACATCCCCTGAGTCCTACCATCCCACATCCTCCCAAATTTTTTAACTGTTTTAACAATATTTCAATTAAAACAAAGAAAACTTTAGATAAATATTTTGGCCATTAGAGGGTATGAGGGATTTTTCAATTTAAGAATATGTTTTTGAGGTTAAACTTGTATTTTTTAATAAAATCCATTACAGAAGTGTTTATTTTTTATTAAAAAACAATTAGATCTACTAATTAGTTTCTTTCATCACATTCTTCTTTAGCGCCTTCTCTTTGGGCTGGCAGCAGACTTGAAAAATCTCTCTCAGACCCACTGGGACTGTCCATTCCTGTTTTAAAGGACAAGTCCCACTGTTAAAGACCATTGGCTACACTAATTAGGGATGATGCAAAATGAGATTCCAAACATCTGGAACAGCTCACAAAGATTATTCCAGGCATTTTAGGCAGTTAAGATTTATACCTGGCATAGTTCTAAATAGCTGGACTATTCCTGCCAAAGATTATCTGTTAACACAAAGATGGTCTTATAGAAAGTCAGAAGTAACTATAGCAGCCAGTCACATTTTTATTGATAACACGGAACAAATGAAAAGTACTGAGTTGGTAAGTCTCATGTTATCTGTTCATATCAGGAAACACTTGGTCATACATTTATGAGAGTTAACTCATTTTTGTGTTCATAAAATAAACTGTTTTTTATTTCCTTTATAGAGAAGATCAATGCTCTGGTACAAAAATGAAGTGGGTTTAAGACACACCACATTGCAAATACACATGGGAACCAAGGAACCTGGTTTTGTTACACACCATGGGTGACCTGACAAGGTGAGCTACAGAATATTCTTTGACTAATCCTAATCTGACATTCTGATGTCATTCTGAAATCTTTCTCCTGTTTTCGGTGTCCTTTGGGAACGTTTACAATAGAACTTTACATCAAATATAGGCCATAAATTACTGCATATGAGATGTTACGACATACTCAAGATAAAGCGAATTAATGAATTGTTTTACTTGTAATTTCTGTATTTTATTCTGCATTTCATTTTTCCCATATGTCTAAAGAAGTGGACATAATCCATGAAAGTTCACATTAAAATATAATGGTTAGTTTTTAAGGTGTCATATGTTTTTGCTTTGCTTTGTTTCTTTGGATTTTGCCTGATATATCTTTTCCCGTTGTTACCTAGGATGAAAGTGTCAGCATTTTGGCCTGTTTCCACTGCATTTTCCATTCATGACTTAAGTTAGAGTATGCAACTAGTCCAGTTAGCTCTAACTCTGGCAAAAAGGGAAAATATATATTTATTACATCCAAATCAAATAAAATGTTTATGTATAAGGGTAGCAATAAATGCTCTTTACAGCCCCACAGTTTCTTTCAATTTGAGATGCCGCAAAATGGTGTCAAAGTCATGTCATATTTGTTGGGTCTGGTTGGCACTTTCAAATGTAAATCTCAATATTGCTCCATAAAACATATTACTGATTTTAAAAAGTAGATGGCAGAAAAGTATAACTCTAGAGGGCAGAATAATATCATGTGCAAATTATGTAGAGCAGATCTTGGCAAATATCTTATAACTTGTGCACATTTGCATTTATAATTCTGAACTTCCTCAGCTTTAGATCACAGCACTTCTGAATTGATTTAATATTTGTTTTTATGCAGGCAGCCCTGAAGAAACAGATAAGGGTTTCAATTGTCCCCCGTTATTCTCCTTTCACCTTTTTATCTATCAGTTCATGATAATCAAAGCAGTGAAGACTTTCGACCCAGCATTTGTTATCACATTTGGAAGGAGTAAAATCTAGTTAACTACTACAAACTGTTGGTCCTCTGCACTTCAGTTCATTGTAGCAATTGTGTGAGAGATGTTTCACTTGAAGCATTCTGTGACTCTTATTGTAGAGTCAGATATTATGAAAGCATTCCTCATTTATCCATTTGCGTTCTGATGGATAATAGAAGGCTGTCCTAATCTTCTTCCAGGCAAATTGCCACTTAGAGCAGGCCTAAAATGGAAACAATCTGTTTTCTAAAGTTCTGTTTTGCATTATAGTTGCAAAAGCCAACTACATATAGATGTGGTTTTACCTTAACAGAAAAAAATAAACAGTGATTTATTTGAATAAGGAATAATTTCAGGGCTGAATGATACATTCCCAAAGAACTGCATCACATAATTCTCCTCGTTTCTGATTTATTCAACAGTATAGCAAAGTTCTTTTTCTGTGGAATAGCTGCCTCCTGCTTTGGTATTACTGTATTAACTAAAGAACCTTCTTAGTTCTAGGAAGATCATTCTCTTTCACTGATGGCAGGCTCAGCTCTTAGAGGAAAAAATGACAAGTTTGATAGAAGAAAATCATCAAACTGATGACAAATACAGTTCAGAGGTACAAATGAAAAGCAGAAACAATTTAATCCTCTTGCATTCATGTATACATTATGACATATAAACACGCACACACACACAAGTCTTGACTCATGCAGGGAAAGAAGAACTATCAATTGCTTTTTAAAAGGAGATGTATCAGAAAGACAACATGGAGTCTGATATGCTAAAACCTGAAACTTTAACTCTCACTGGACAATAATAAACCAGAACTAGGAACATGAGGAGAAGAAAAATCTCAGCGCCACTTCCCCATCTCTCATACTCACAGTTGCCATGCGAAATACTGATTGGCTCAGGATCTTCTGGGAAATCAGCCCCAGCAAAGTGTAGCAGTGTGAAATATAGCAGCAAGGCTTCTGACCTCATAGTAGTTCAGCTGGGAGACAATTTCTTCAGTTCGCCCCTGTAAAACATAAAACAAGGAAGGCATTCAGATGGGTTTTCTACCAACTCACACCGAGTCACTCCAAAGCAAAAAAACAAAAAACAAAACAAAAAACAGGCCTTGAAGAGCCAACCTGTCACAAAGGTGACTCTCCCACTTTTCACACATTCTCTATGTGAAGTAACAAGCATGTTCCTTTTGAAAGAACAAGAACACACACCCATAACAAGCCCCACAAGGCGCTCAAAGATAGCGGCACCAACATCCTTCCCCCCCCTTTAAACTTGAAAATGTTGCAGCTGTCAAGGAATACTTCTCTTCATCCCACTCCTCCTCCTCCTCCTGTTACCACTTTACTTTAACCAATAAATGTTCTATGAACAGGCTTGGCCTTACAGCTTGGCAGGATCAGGCAATTTCCTCTGACAGCAGATGCTGGGAGTTGTTCCCCCCGAATCCCACCAACACTGGCAGTTCTCCTTCCCTGGGAGACTGACTGGTGTGTTTCACCGTGTGTTGCATCTCCAATGGAGGAACACAAGCCCATTATCAGCACTAAAGTGAGATGCAACTGCCATGTCAGCCAGCTTCTGTACAAGAAATGAGAGGGAGATCGTTTCTTTTGCCTTACTTAGCGAATGACTTAGTTCAACCCTGCATGTAAGTTCCAGTTGTAAGAGCTAGAATTATGTTTAAATATTGAATTATTACTGAATACATTTAAAATAAATTATTCAGTTATTATTTAGAAACAAGATTAAT